TCGAAAATTTCAAAAAAGTATCAGGGGAACATGAAAATCAAGGAGGTATTCACTGCAATTCAAAAATTCGAAAATTTCAAAAAAGTATCAGGGGAGCATGAAAATGGAGTAGGTATTCACTCAAATTTGAAATTTCGAAATTTTATAGTGAAAGACAAAAATAAATTTCGTAACGCAGAAAATAACATTAACTTAGTCGACTGGTGCCTCTGCCAACGGAACGGCTACTGAGGCAGTTACCGCGTCGGCTGCGGGGCAGACACCCCAGCATTGCGTGTGGCGCCCTCTCTCTCTTCGAAATTTTCGGAAACGTATCAGGGGAGCATGAAAACCGAGGACGTGTTCACTGAAATGTCAAAATTCAAAATTTTTGAGAAAGTATATATTTTTAAAAGGGATTGATATTTATGGGGCATAACATTTATCTTTGCTTTCAATTATTCAAAAATTAATTTCGGTGTCCTGATTATTTGATCTATTATGTTCCAAATTCATTCGACTCCGTGTGCAGAAAACATCTTACACGATAGAAAGGATGATTGAAAATGAATAATGTCTGCGGCAATAATAAACGTTCCCTGCACGAAGCCCCAATTGATCTTGCTAAGGGTCTAGATCCTGAACGATCCAATGGAGATGTGGATGGCTCCCTTCATGCCCACTCAACTTCCTCATGTTATGGATACGAAATGCCCCAGTGATCATGTAAGAAGCAGAAGCTATCAAAATAACGAAGACCTCTCGTCTCCGCAGTGCGTTAATCGCGCACGGTTGCACCTGAAATGCAGGAGCTCAAACACTCCAGCATCTGCTGGATGCTGGGGTATGGCATCCATTCATACCTTTGCGGGCCGATACGTTCCACGGCACTTTTCAATTTGACTAAACAACCGGAAATCTTTTCGCCCATCGGTGTATTATTTTGGGTGGAGATGATTCTCGTGTTTTTCAACGTCAGGTATCAGTTGTGTCGGCGCATTAACGGCATCGGTGAATCGTGTTTGCGCGTCATCGTCGGGGGATGTGAGGGTTATTGAGGTTGGCATCTTCAGGAATAATATTTTTACGCTGATGATTCTTTTCGACATTTTTTTGCCTCTCCCGGGGTTATTGATACTCTCAAGGGCTCCATTTTTTTCCTGAAACATATTACAGAACAGATTGATATTTATGTTTCCGAATGGGAGCATTGTAATCGTTGAAATTAAAATTTTGAATTTTTTTGTCTCATGCCGACCCATCATGACCGAAATATCGGAAAATGGGATTTTTCAACCGTGTCCAAATCCATCGCATTTTTATTTTATTTTTCAGATGATTTTTGCTGATTTCGAATTTCAAATAATAATTATTCTGAAGCGTAATTTATCCGCGAAAATGATGTATTGTAATATTAGAGATAATTCTCCCCGATTTTTATACCAAAGATAATGCCCACTCAATGAATGAAATACGATCTTTCAGTCTCAAAGCCTTGAAAATAAACTTGAAAAAACCAGATTTTGCCACTTGGATTATCTTTCTAGTGTAACCGGATGCCGATTCATCAAGACCACAAACGAGGCCACTCGTCGCCCATCGAGGGAAGCTGGATAAAAAGGGCGACTGCATCTTCAAACAGTTTCCATTTTTTTTTCTCGTCTGTTTTTTCTTATTCCAACCAAGCAGGGGCCTAGGCACTTTGATTTTTGGGTCGATGCCTCGACTGGAAATAAGACACGACCATATATGGCTGGAGACGAGTTGCGATAAGATAAACCAAGTTGTTGGAGGTGAAAGAGGGGGCATGCCCGAGGCTAGTTTAAGTCTTAATTACGAGGCGCAGGTTTAGGAACGTGACGTTATCGCACGCCTCTTCCTAGACGCTTCATCTGTCGTTTAATTTTATTTTTCTGTTATTCTTGCGGGAAGAGAGAAATGAAAAAGAGACACGTGAAACTTTGTGGCTTTACACTGAAACAGAGGAGAATAAATTTAATGTGAAACAGGCTTTGAATTACTCGAGTGTCGTAAAAACATCAGACGATTCCGGTTACACATCTGTATGTCTCCAATTTGAGATTAACACATCCGCGGGGATTTCTTTAAATTGAATAGCTCGGGTGATGGGTGGGATATCGCGACGGCTCAATTGCCTAATGCTAATGGAATTTTATGGGAGAAAAGTCCCTGCAAAAAATCACACCCAGCGAAATCTTGAATTCAAACTCCTAGACGATCGGAATATTATCCGGAAAGAAAGTACTCGTTTAAAAATTCGATATAATTATGTTTAATTATTTTGAACATTCGCTCCAGTTGTCAGATAAATATTTATCATTCAGATGATTTAAAACCTATTCGAATCGTGAGGTACATTAAGCAGAAATAAATTATATAATTGACAAATCCATTAGCAGGCTCAATTTTTCATTGGTAATTATTACTTGCAGAGTTATTCAAATCAAACTTATTTTTAATGTAATCCTTATTCTGAACGTCACACAGACTAAAAGGTCCGTCTACTTTCCGATAATTTTAATTATGCAGATGAAATCAGAGAGTTGAATCTGTTCTTTTGCTGGATGCCAATCGGTAAATGAATGATGAGAATTTTGAAATCCGAGATGTTTAAGTGATTTGATATCTCTGGCGCACGGTAGAATTGAATTTCGAATTTTCCTTTATTGGATATGATTCGATGCATTGAATATTCCATTATCCATATTTTGAGTTCAACGCCTCATTGAATATTTTCAGGTGGATCGCGAGTGATTTTTTAATGTAATGCATTCACAGAATTTAAACATCAGTTATCCGACAAGCCCCACAAATTGGAACAATTCTCTCTACTGGAGGAACGAGTGTTAAATAATTTATGAAAATAATTAATTGACACTGGGTTAATGGATTCAGTGATGATTTTCTCAGGTGATGAGTTAAAATCCCAAGCCGAGATTCACTCTTCCACCTGAATACATGACGAAAATTGATTTTCCAGCATGAATATACGTGTACACAATTGTTGGCTGGAGGGATGCGTACCACATTGGCAACACAGATAGAGACACGCTTATATAGTAGTGTCCGGTCATTCCCATCGTGCGAGGTAAGCCCGAAGCGACCAGTCTCGTGTCATCGTGTCATCGATAATTGATGTATGCGCAGACTAATGGCTGTAATTACGTCGACCTAATATCCATCCTGAAATCTCTCGTATACCCTTTCCCCCTCCTCTGGCCCTTGCATTTCTCTTCATTGATGGCAGTGGACACGCCTCATCGACCAACACTGACAAACATCTGGACAATTTTTTCTCCTTTTATCTACCTCGTGGGTGGACTTTTTTTACTCCACCGAGGAAGACAACGAAAAACGTGAGAAAAAAGTCGAGGAATTAATTAACGAGTTTGGGACAGTGAGGCGAACCGCTGGGTTCAGGTAATTAATAGCTCCCAGTGAGAGGGGTCCAGACATTCTTCCAATTCTTGGATCATAATTTCTTGTTTCAATTGGAGATATGAAAGCGTGAAGAAATACATTCCCCAACCACTCGTCATCGGTCTTCGTCATCTGTTTGGCGAGATTTTTCTTTTTTTTTTGTGGGGAAAATAGATTAGGTCAAGTTTTCTTACAGGCACGAACTCCAGAGAATTATATACGAGAATATATAATGACAAGAATTATAACATAGGTATCTATTAAAATTTCAGCATCTGAATTTCGCCAGTGATTATTAAAATTTAATTATAATGGAAAACCATCGAAACCGAAAATAAAGGAGAGACTTCTATCTGAAAACAGAATGAGAAAAAGGTAGGTCAAAATTTATCCTGGCATTAACAAATCCGTATTGACTGCGAAGTATTTTCACTCACATTGCGAAGTTAAATTTCACTGAAAATTTATGGTCGTGTAAAATAAATGTATGAAAGCAAAGTGAAATTAAAATAAAGCGTTGTGATAATATTTTTAGGATTTATTCACGAGACGTTTGCGCTGACTTAGCTGCGGTGTTGCATTTAATAGAATATTTAATTTAAAAATCCCAATGGAATTCTGGGGTGACCGAATTTGAACAGTGGCCACGGACTAGCCTGCACTGAGTTTAATCCTCGTATAAAATTCAGGGAAACTCGGATGTATTCCCTGGTGGAGGGAATAGTATATTCTATAATAAGCTTATGTAGCAGAGGCCTGTAGCGTGACTAATAAGACTATCGTCACTGTGCAAGAGTCCTGGCCAAAATGTTGAATGCGATCTGTACGAGTCTGCTCATCCTTCTGTGCATATTTACTCCGTGGGATTTTCAGGGGGGATTTCCGACTCGGATAAAGGAAAATTTAATTATATGGGAATCAATTGTCAGTAGAAGCGACCAAGTCATCGATTTCCTGAATTCTCATTTCCTCAACCTGAAAAGTCATACTGAAATAACGAAAATCCCTCAAGACGCGCAAAGTCTATCATCGAAAAGTCAAATAGAATTGAAAAAATTAGGGGTGTCGATAAATTAAGGGGAATTGAATTGGACATTGGGACAACTCGTCCCGATATTCATACCGAGACGTTATTCAATCTGGAGTGAGCCATGCGGGAATGCGTTTCTAACTCCATTCCCCACGAGGGTTTGAGCAATACTCTGCACCCCCTGTACGGTACAAGGCACTTGCTTTACCAATGTTGTTATTGAATTATTTCGAGAGCGGATTTTATGCGCAAAGGGCGCTTTCAAACTTGGATTAGGAGATCCGCAGATGGAGTAGGCGTGTCGTGACAGCTCCGATCTGTTGGCGAAGTATCGGCTAGAGCCTTCAGTCCTCCCTTTTCCCAATGTTTCGGTAATGCCCGACAGGGGTGGAGAACTCGGCAGATCTTGATGAGAGGCTTTCCCTGAATCAAGATGCGATTAGGAAGATCGAGTTGTTAGGGACAGCCTCCACAACCCCGACGACGAGGGATTTCCAACATCACTGGGGCCGAGACTGCCAACTCAAGGAAATCATAATAATAACAATTACTCCATTGAAATATCGATAAATAATTATGATTATTGCTCCAGGTGTGTGGAATTGACAAAAAAGTCGATGATTAAATTTTCCGTAAAACAAGCCAATGAAATTTCACCGATTAATCACAAGAAAAATAATATTCCCTCGTTGGACAAATTTACCCACCGCACCATTGAACCGTCGTGACACTCTCGTCGGTGCGTTAAAATTTGACCTTCCAATTATTGGCGCCTGTTAAAATCATTGAAATCTACACATGCATGAGTGGACCACCCCAACACCCCGCAAAACACTCGCTCTAGGGGTTGATGTAATTGCGGCGGTGGTATCACGCGTCAGCAAACGCTGCGCTTACATTCACCCCCGGTGTCCGTCAATAGCAATGTATCCCTTTTTTCCATATATTTCATGACCCCTCGGGAATTAAATGCCAGTGTTTATTGCCTTCATTTGTGAAAAAGGATAAAAGGGGAGGAAAATCCGTGTTTCCCCCTCGTGTAGGTGTTCACTCTGGTTGAACCCCGTACTGAGAACAAAGTAGATGGAAATCCTTAACGGTTATTGGCTCGTGTGTATTTTCACGCATTTCACCTCTCTTTTCACTGAGAGAGAGACCATTCTGACCACAATCCACATTCATCGGCCGACAGTTGTACAACAATTGCATTCGTTTACGGGGGTGGGGGCTCGAGAATAAGAGGGCACCTCGTCGGGGCCGTTACTTTCAATTAGATAATTGGAAGTGCTGGGTAAGTCGAGAGCCAACCTCACCCTCCTCTTTCTCACCACTGACAACCCCCACGATGAGCTTCTACCATTCCATCGTGGTGAACGCAAAACGCGTTGGTTAACAGTTTCATACCACTCACGCTATATCCAGGCACACTTTAAACCCCTGCCACTGGGTAATTTCATGAAACTACCGCGCATTTAACCAACGTCACGAGCGACAGGGTTGTTTAACTGGTCCACCCATTATGTGTCGTTTTATTGGTGATTTTTTTTTCTACTCCGGGAATCATATCATGTGGAGATTACAGGATTACTCATTCCGGGATTATTTTAAAATTCATCTATTTGGATTGAATATTATCTAAACAGTGTGTACAGATTCATTAATTCGTCGGCTAATTACGCAATGGAACGCAATCAAGGATTAATTAATTTAATGTTTAAAGGGAAAAAATGACAGATAATAGATGATTGCCAAAAATATTGTGCCACATCCCGAACTTTTTTGAAATATTTCGAAAACCAATCGATCCCCAACCACTCAGCACCCCCGGAAAATTCGTTGTTGGTTAACACTAGTGAAAGCTTTTATTGTTCTCCAGAAAGTTAGATATGCTAAAATACTGTCTCTCCCAGTTATATCCATTCCCCAGCAATATGTAAATCCAGTCGAATGGAAAGCGGGGGATTATGAAAATCTCGATGGACTCATTCGATGGCAATGGGCGAGGGTGGGGGGAGGATTGAGCTTGGGGGTTGTCAAATTGCGTAGCAAGAGAACAGTGCAAATGAGAGGAGTTGAGAAAAGCACATCGATAAAGAGAGAGGGTAAAACGTAATCACGCATCGGCGGATTGTTTCCTCCGTCGAGGGGTCAAAGGGGTGCATTGGACCCCCAGAAGTTCGAGACAGCGTCGATATGGCGGTTGCCTATAGACTGGGGATCAGTGGGTGATATATCGAAGAAGGTTGGCGTGATTGGTGGGGAGGGGGATGGGTAGGAGGTGGAATGCGATGAGAAGGGGAATGGAAGAAACTGGCACCCGGCCCCCACCACCCGGTGGGTGGGGGTCGAGGGTGAAACATGGAGTATAGTCGGTCTGTAGTCTTGTCGTTTTCCCCGGGATATTAAATATTAATCCCTCGAAATTACAAGCGTAGCTCTCACTCCTATCGCATCTGTATTTTCCCTCTGTGTTACCTCTGTGTTACCTCTGTGTCATATCTCCCTCCTGCGTTATATAACCTCTACTCAACCCCGTTGAGACAAAATCAACTCAGTAAATGGCGAACCAGTGTTCAGTGCAGCTCTTTTCATTGCACTTTTACGGCTTGCTCTGTTGTACTAAATATGCCTGTCTTGGATGGATTTTGAAGGAAAAAAAGGAGGAGTTACTGTCTCATTCGGGCTCACACTGTAAGCAACGAGTAATCTAGGCGGTGGATTAACCCTCCGGCTCAAGATATCAGTTGGGGATTTAACGGTGTACCGCGCACTTCTCATTGTAACGAGTATGAAAGAAGACGGATCTATTGTATCTCCACTGCAACTAGTTGGAACATCTTTTAGTTATTCTTGCTTCTTTTTTTTTTTACTTTCTTTATTCATTCGCTTTTGAAATTTTTCTCTCCTGCGGAAGGGGTTTTTTATTTTATTGGGCGGAGGTTTCTGGGCTGTCAACCCACTGCAATGGGGAGTAGCTATTTTATGGATGGGTATTTGAGCGCTGAAAGTAGACGGGTTTAATGAGAGAAAGGGCTTTCCTCGGGGAATTGGGAACAATTGGAAAAATATAGAACATTTTGATCGACTTGGGGATTTGCTTTCCCTCTCAATATTTTTTTTTTCGAGGAGATTAGAACTTTGAGGGACAGAAATTCACAGGATAATTTATTGGAATAATATTTTTTATGACACATTGTTTATTCATGTAAATCAACAATTAAATTCCATCAATTCGCTCGAGCTAAATACAATGAAATCTATACATTCCATAAACCTGGAATTTATTCGATGTAAAAATCTCCTAAAAATGTTCCATGGATTTTATCTGGAAATATATTCCGCATTCATCCTGGAGTATATAAGGCACTTAAAAATATATTGAACGTAAACTATAAAAACTTAATGAAACGCCCGCTATAAATATCTCGTGCAATTAAAAAAGTGCTCCGAGCGAATTGTCCAGAGGCTGTTTCCCATAATTAGACGTACAGCTGTCAGTTTCATGAGAAACCAATGAACCCATTATTTACCCATAATCCTTCCATCGACCCCCCTTATAAATTATCAATTTATTATTCGACACGAGTGTGGAACGTGTGAACGATATATCGATCTGATGAGCACAATGAATCAACGAGCAGTTGATACGTTGTGTGTTACCACGAAAACGTGGGAAGGATAGCCCCGGAGCATTTCGACGTACAATGATCAGTCGGCGTCAAAGTGGCACGCGTACCAATAACCCGAAGGGGTGTACTCATGTGTACGGATTTTCAATTGAAAAATCACGTACTGTCAAGTCCCGTGTTACGACGTATCACCTCATGCGAAAGGGAGCATTTGTCCAGAGGGGATAACTCAAGTGAACTCAATGCCCGTTTATTTACATCGGGGATTAAATTCTCTGAACGTGTCTGCAGACACGTAATTTACGTGATTTCTACAGATAAGACAGATCTCTCAGACTGATCCACAAAATTCCCACCGAAAACAACCGATCGAGGAAAGAAGAGAGGGGGATGTTAAATGTATCAAAAGTTCAGGGGATTAAATGTATCGAGAACTCGTACAAAAGATTTAAAAATCCAATAACTCGTTATCGGTTTATCCTATAAATGAAAAATGTAGTCCGCTGTTTTTTCATTCCTATTTTTACCATCGTTTCCTCAGTTTCGAGTCAATTTCCATTGTTCCAATTTTTTTTTTTCCCTACCTGTTTGTTTTTGTTTCATTATTCAATGGTCGTTTATTTCATGTGTTCATTCGCTATTCTCTAACGAAGTGAATTCCGGATTTTTCAGTTGTCAAAATAATTGTTTTTATTATTACCTGGGATGGTGGAGGCAAAATTGATGAGTGATTTTATTAGAGGTGATTGGGGCACGTTGTTCCTACTGTTTTGCTATTTTTTCTGGTATTTTCGTATCGGTGAAAAATGGGATGACTTTGACATCTGGATTCTTCGGGTAGAAGTAGTTGATGTCGTAGGCTGGTGTTGATGTTTGCCGATTCTTTCGGTAGTACATTGCAATTATTACGAAGATACCGCAAATTAATATTGCACCGAGGAGAGCAAAGGCCACAGTGCGAAGTGTTGCATTTGCAGCGATCGCTGTGTCTAATTTTTCTTTCAACTCAATTTTACTCCAGACTTCGACGTCGGAGCCAGTGGTGAGACGTGCGAGACACGTCCAAGTTCCAAAGTCTTCATCGGCGACGGCTGACCACAAAATCATGGATTATTAAAAAAAAAAATTCTCAAATTACAAAAATTCATTTTTTACCATTTAGGGTTAACATGCATCCGTCATTTTTTTGTCGCGTCACATAACGCGATGCAGTATTTCGATAAATGCCATCTCCATTCGGACGTACCCATCGGCAATAATCGATGGTTGCTTCACTGGAAGGTAACGTCCGACAGCTAAGGATTGTTGATTTTCCTTGATGAGTCGAGATGTTCTCTATTTCTGAGATGAGCTCGGATTCTAAATATATATATAAAAAAAGAAAAACAAAACAGAACAATTGAGAGGGAATTGAAAAGGAAGGCGGCACTAATGAGAATCGTTTATATCGGCAACTCTCCCCAGAATGTTCCACCGAATCGCTCGAGTAACCACCGAAGTTTACAGTAAGAGACTCATTAAGATTAACAGCGTGTGTAATTACGGGATCAACGGCTGACTGCTCAGCTATTTGATTCAATAATTCAGTACGACTATATTGGTTTCGCAATTAAGCGCGAAACACTCTGTGGAATTCAGACTCAAGGATTCAGACGTTCATGTTAGATGAATTGCTTTCGATTAACGGTGACGATTCAACGTTTAAGAGTTGAACTGGATTAGAGTAAGGGAAAACTACCGGTAGATTTATGCTGGGTAAACAATGACTATTGGCAAACTGAATTGAGCTGTCGGGATTTTATCGGCAAATTGGTTCATTCGTCATACGGAAGTTGTGCATACAAACCAGTGACCGTAACCGGAACTATCGACTCTACTTCCGCAGCACCGACAACACCCAACCGACAGCTCCAATCACCCCTGTGCGTGTCGTCAGCATTTTCAACTACTGCACCACAAACACCCATTGACAGACCTTCGCCATTGTAACGCAGAAGATTTCCACCTCTTTCGTTTTTTGTTACTGAGTACATAGTGCCATTGGGACTTCGCATCCAACAGAAATTCAATGGGGCGTTCGTACTGCATCGAATCTGAAGGGACAATAAAAAGATTCATCGATTGATCAATTTTATCACCAACACCATTAAATCACTGTCTTCTGTTCATCCTATGATATTTTGTTCAGTGATATTTCTTTGTGTTATCTGGCCGCATAATATTTTGTAGCATTACCACAAATTCAGATCCGCGTTTGACGTAGACCGGTGAGCTCGAAACAATTTCACCGTCGAGACGCTTCCCTTTGGAATTTTGAACGTCAATGAGGCCTTGGAGTGTGATTTCCTTTTTTCTCACGGAGATATCTTTCATGGAACATTTCCACACGCCGTAGTCGTAGGCCGAGGGGTTACGAATCATCAGCCCGCACTCTGCTCTCTTTTTTGGCTGATTGCGTGAGGCTAATGCGAAGCCAGTTCCATAGTATTCGTAGCTGGTGGTCAGGCATTGTGGCAGTTGATGAGAATGATCATTGAAAGTGCTTATTCGATCGAAATAAAATTAATTGGCCTTACTTTCCGTCCCCCACACCAGCTTGGAGGGATATTACAGTGCCATTGGGCGACTTGAACATGCAGTTGCTGAGAGATCTCAATCCAGTCCTGCAGAGCATGTTGACTCCATCATCTTCGTAGGACACGGATATCTCCAAGGCCTCAGGATCTAGATCATTCCAATTTTGTCAATTTCTCATGTTACTGGCTGTATACTGTGGTACTCACTCCAAACTTCAACATTGTATTCTTCTTCCACGAGTTTCATACTGTGAACAGATCCGTGTCGTCCTTTCCAGACACCGGCATGCTTATCGGTCACATTCAGGGTATATTTGCACTCATAAGAGAGTGGAATGACAACACCATCCGGTGTCACCACGTCACAATAAGTTGCATCACGTGCGGTTAGTTCCAAGGTTTCAGAAGCGCCGCGTTCCCAAATCAGTTGTGTCTGCTGCATCAAGGAAAGAAACGGATCATTGAAATAAGAAGGAGATGGGTTTTTGTCTGTGGACTTACGATCTTAGGACGTTCAGTGTCGAAGGCCTCGTAAATCCTGAATGTCGCCATAATTTCATTGTAATTTCCACGCGATTGAGTGATCGTCCATCTGCCTAGTCGCGATTTATCGTACCGCATTCTCACACCACAAATCTTGTAGAGCTCAATGCCTTCAGCTGGGTCAATGGGATTCAGAAGTTCATACGTTTTGCCCTACGTCACAGAATGGGGAATCAGTGTTTTATTGGACTGGCTAGTTCTTCTGGCAAAAGAATTGGGACAAATTGCTGATCAATCAGGTATACCTCGTCATTTTTTATCTGGCAGGATGTTGGATTATCGAAAACACTGGGGAGGTAGAAGGTTGCGTAACCGGACCTCAAGGTGACCTCCGGAGATGGCTGCACAATTGCTCGCTGGAAAAGAACATATGCCTGGAATATTGGAACCCTGAACCGTTCGGGTTTCAGCATACCTTATACACGCGCAGCTCGTAAAAACTGGAGTATGATACCGATTTGTTCGATTCTTGGTAGTAACCTGTCAGTGTCCAGTTGCCAGCGTATTCCCAGCCGATGTGGAGTGTGAAGCCACAAGCATTCCCTTGCTTATCTGAACTTGCACTTGTCAAATTCATGTTTGGATATATTTCATAGAACACGTCGTTGTGCATCGCCACACATCTTTCGGCGGTCCCCCAGATATCCAGTTCGAAATCAATAGGTATTCCAACTGAAATATCTTTCTTATTCACTGAGATAGACTTAGATTTGGACAACGGTTGTTCAGCCTTCTGAGGAAATCAATCAACACGATGTTAAATACGGAATTAACCACAGCCTCACTAACGGATACGCAAAGACTCTCACTTCAACTTTTTTCCATGAAGAGACATCATCATCCTGCAATGCATATCTCCTCGCGAGTTCTGCGCCTGAAACACACGTTTGCTGAGTGAAACAAAGGATTCCCTGATCCCAGATATTTCTTTCTGGAGAACAGGTCCGGAAGGAACTCTATATCTTCAGAGTACTGAACTGGGTGAACCTCCTCCGACGAATGGTCAAATGGATTGTCGACGGGGTTGAAAAGGTGAATGGTGGAAAAGGGGATAACACTTTACTGAGAGGCAATGAAAATCTTGAACAACCGACGGGCGTGTATCTTCCTACGCTGGACACAGACGACGTTTCGAATGGCGGGAATGGGTGGAAGGTGGAGTGCATGTATGAAAAGCCGGAAAGGTTTGTCCGGAGCTATTCCTTTCGGCTTTTTCATCGGGGGTTGGGGACCAAAGGGCTGGCCCATCACTGACAAGAACAATCGGGTTACACAGAAAAGGATCGCGTTTGGTGGTGAAAAATAAAGAGAACAAAAGTCATGATAAATTTATTGACTCACGCTCACCTTTGCCTTCAGCTAAAACCAATTCCGTTTGGATTGCCAGGAATAGGCTCAGGAGGATCGACCACCTCATGGTGTCACGGCTTTTCGAATCAACTCTAAAATGACCGATGGAACGACAAATTCTTTTATATCGTGATAACGTATCAGTATGTTTACTAATGGTACATCATTATCAATGGGCTTCACAATCTTGATTTCACAGATTAAAAATACATTCGAATCGTGGTCGAATTGGTATTTTATTTTCAAGGTGCCAATTGTGAAATTTTGGGAATACAGCGAGGAGTGAAAACGTCCGGTATTAATTGATAAGAATTAAGACTCTCGGTGAAAGTTCATTGCAGGAAAATGGAGCTGAGTTGAGTGAATGTCGGCGCGATGGCGCATATTCAGTGGAACAAATTCGACTGGACAAAAAGTCCGTGGCATTTTGTAACAACGGAAAAAATCTAATGGCCAGAGCCACTCGTTCGTCAATTGATTCCGTCAATCATGAAAGAGACGCCTGGAATTTCCAAGATGGGGAAAAATGCCGAACTCGGTCCTCACACAGTACACGATAGAATTGTTTAATCGCTGTTATCAAGTACGTGCCATCAGTTTATGCTCTATCGCGCACTTACATAATTATCTGTAGATAAAAGTACTTTTGTTCGAGCCATTGGATTATGACAATACAAGGTCTGAGAGGCCATAGATCTCACTCATTATTCAGAAAGCTTGTTATAAATCCCGAAGTAATTATGATTAAGCAAAATGAAAATGAAAAATTCAATGTTTTCTCTACGGGAATTTCAAAAGTAATTTCGCAGCAGCGTATTTCACCGTGAGGGTCTCCTGAAGTTGTTCACGTCCCATGAATTTTGCGAAGCAATCCCCCCAGATCGATCGAATCGACTGATGCGCTCACATGAGCTAGAGGGGATAGGGTAGAAATCCACTTGGTTACATGGAATTACCGGTATCCTCAGTGGATTTGTCCACACATCCCATTTTGTTGTGAATTGAAGTTGGGTACAAAGTCCAGAAGGAAAATCCATGAGGATCGACATGAAGAGATATATTTTCAATGGCGACATTCTCGCTCGATGGATAAAGTCCATTTGCCGTGTCCCTTGCGTCATCAGCCAATCCCATTTGAGATTAGACACTGGCGTGAATTGTGTTACCTCTTGCGAGGCTGTGGCATTCGCATCAAAGGCAAATTTCAACGGTCGGGAGAGACTGCACCACCGCTGCCAGAGGGGGACACGAGGGGGTTGGGGATGCATACACCCGTAATTAATATGCCTGATGGGGGTTTCCAAGTCGGATAGCCGATTACCATAATCTTATTGCGGGAGAGTATCCCTCTTGCGTATATCTGTCTGTGTCCAATGGCAGATTCATGAATGCATTGATGGTGTCTGTTTGACACAGCGATATCAATTAGGAGGGGTCGGAATGGGAATTCATGGGGCAACCCAGCCAACTGGTATAAACCACCAGAAAAAAATAATTCATTTTTACTATTTACTCTATTTTTACACCGTTACAAAATTACGCCGCAAATTTCCAGTTTAAAAATTTGAATAATTCAATTTATTCAAAAATTAATTATCATTTCACATGGAAAGCTCAATTCTCTCTCATTTTCAAGACGAATGACGATGGTAGTGACAGGTTTGCAATTCAAATTGAATTGAAACTCGTATAAGTGGAAATTGTGGAAGTTGTGACTGAAATAGTAAGACGGTTTTAACAGTGTAATGGATATTGACTATTGGACATTTCCTGTGGATTTTTTCAACCGCAAATAATCCATGCATTATTTCCTCATCAGCAGTATCAATACTCACTCGCTGTTATCCCTCATCTAACATAATCGTTAAAAATCCCGGCTAGTCGTCACGCTCCAGCTATTTCTCCACGAGTGCAACGATCAACCACTCAATCTGGGCCACTGCAACTCGAATCGCGACACCTGCACTGAGATAAAACGCCATCTTTTTTTTTTTTCAATCGGCGTTTTATTCGGTCTTTTTACGCCGAGCGAAGTGGAATTTTTCAGTGCACAGGAGTCAAAGGTGTCGATGAATGTGGGTCGTGGTCACACATCCACCGATTGAATTTCAAAATCGATATTCAAATGAATCCTTTAACGGCTGAAAGTGCACATATTTTTATTATTTCAAATCCCCTGCACCCGATACCGCGGATTAACTGCGCTGAATGGTGACCATTTATCAGGTACATAATAGAGACGTTTGCCCTCTTGACCATATGTTACCAGTGATACATACAATGCCCCTCCACCACCCCCTCTTTCACTCTTCATTGCTGCTGGCACAGGCCAAAACGTGAAAGGCTGATGAGATACAATGAGCATTGAGTTGACGCACTGTTAAATGGCCCTCCCATTTTCCCCCCTGCAATAATACATATTCCTGAAACTCCTCGACAAATAGCTCTGGAGAATGCCTCGTGGAATGCTGTTTGTAGCCCACAATAGTACAAAACACTTTTGTGTGGGGAACCGACCAGCGAATACTCCGAAAATATATTGTCAAATATATTTATGGTGGGTCTGCGTTTTACTTTTTTTCAATGCATCAATCTTCAACTCGGAAAGCCATACTTCGAATTCGAAAAAAATTCAACTTCCAATTATTTTTATAATTCAATGTTAATGAATTTAATTTCAAAAATTGAGTGTTAAAGTATAATAATTGGGGGAGTTTGTTTTAAAAAATGTAGGCAATATATTTTTCAGACATTCTTTCAGATTGTTAAATGACTTGACTGCGTGCGTTGCGAATATCCGAAAATTGATCTGTACCGAGATCTGAGATTGCGCGACTCGAGAAATAATGGAATTATATGTAAATTAATGCTCGGGGTAATTACATACATCAGCGAGAAATAATGCAGTTGAGATCGCCATCAGTGGTTATTATTATTCGTATTTTTAATTTGTGTTAATGCTATAAATTGGACTGGGGCATTAGCATGCGGAGCTTTCATTTTATCATTTCGCTATATATTCCACTGGAGTACTTTCATTTTTCCCGAATTTAGACTGTAAAAAAAAAATGTAAGAAAAGTGAATTTCCAAGTGATGGCTTCAAATACCAATTAAAAATATTGCATTACAAAGCCATAGTTTAAATATTACGATGAGAAATATTACTCCGAATTATTTCGAGCGGTAACCGATTGTAATTTTAATTCGAAAAAATTCGTACGGGGGTTGGATAATGTTTGAATGCCCTAGATCTATGGAAATGTGGGTAAATACAGTCTCGGGGAATATATAATGGGAAAGATGTATTTATTCCCGTCGTGATATGATGGCGCAGGTGGCAGTAGTTCGTGTTAACAATAATAGGCATCAAGTCCATAAGGGCGGGGTTATGTCGATGACCATTTGCGTGCTGTTGTACACACAATTGCAATGACAGCCTCTCTCCAACAATTTTGTAATAAACAAACACATGGTACAGGAAAAGAGCGCTCGACATCGATGATAACCCGGTTATACCGGCATATACTCAAACCGTTGAGTATCGACTTTGGAAATCGCTGTTTCCACAATTCCTATGGCATTCCGGAAATGAAACTGTGTCGAGGATCCTGCGGAAGAGAGGGACGAGAATATTTACCTCTGGATGGCACTCTCGCCATCGTATTGTACAAACAATGCCCAGTTGTCCTCTGGATCGCGTTTTTAGGGCTGTGGATAAAGTCAACGTTTGTTACTAGGAGCGGAACACACGCCGGTGGATATCCAGTGATTTTGGAATTCGGGGTTCACCGCATTCGTTGTTCAAGCCACGGGGGCTGTAGTCCAACTGCGGTTGACGGAAATTCGCGAGATCATTCCCATCTCTGGGCTTTGGCGAAAAATTCCATTTGCATCTCGAGAATTCTTGACGAATTGGTGTTGAAAATTTTTTGCCTCTTTTTACTGAAAAAAAATTAATATCCGGCCCAGGGGCAAGTGACTTTTTTCCAAAATTCAATTTTTCCATCAAGCCATTGTGGATTCCGCATATATTTACAGAGTAAATGTAAAAAAATCAAAAGCGCAAAAAATAAGGGAATAAAAAAAATATTGATCATCGGCTGGGGGGCAGATCTGGGACTTTTCATGGAGGTAAATCATTTTTTCCAAAATAAAATTTTTTCATCAAGCCATTGTTGATCTCGCACATATTGCCGGTATAAACGGCTTTAAAACGTCCAAAGGGGTGAAAAAATGTGAAAATAAAAAGAGTCACTTTGCTCCCCGAAGAGTAGTAGAAAGCCTCAAATAAATCCCGTCATCACCCCTAAAAAATCCACTTACCCCACCCCCCGTAAATAAATATTAAAAAAAAAAAATACCCCGAACATTTGTCGTACTGGATGACCGGGACATCTGTTCACGGTTTAATCCCGCCACCTTGTCGAAAAATCCCCAAAAAATCCTTTCGCCCATCCCCAGTCTGTTGGGGATAGGAACATACACCCTGGATTATCACAGGATGATATGTTAGAAAGTGTACGAGACATCCACAACACCCACGTGGGTCTCATATCGTGGATATGTCTCTCCACAATGGAGGCATAACAAGTACTTGGAATATACCTATATAAATTAATTGCACGATGTTTTCCGAGGGGTCTCTCTCAAGTGTTGGGGCTCATCCCTCCCCTGTTCCATTTTGCTAGATTAAGAGGGTTAGTTTTTGTTGAATTTGCACAACAATGCCACAGGCAAACGGCATGTGCTGGATATCCCGAATATATAAGTTTTAGTCTGGTGAACCACACGTATAACCGTGGGGAACCTTAATCCCCGATACCTCTCCAATTTGATACATTCACCACTCTTTTTTTTTTTATCCCCTCCTGAATTTTTCCCTTTATTCAGTATTATTGTTATCGCAAAAAAACGGCTGCACGTACATCCGTCAGAACATGTGATGTCCACAGCATCCGGGGCTAATTTTATTTCCCCCCTGGATATTTAATGATACGTTTTCCACCAGAAATATAGAGGAAAAATGGAAAATATGGGTATCGTAATGGCGATAGTGAAAAATGTTATATTCTGATGA